GCAAAATGGTGTGGGGGTTTTGCCCCTGCTGCCTTTTTTTTTTTTTTTTTTTTGAAGACAGGGTCTCGGGTAGCCAAAGATTAATTCACCGTTATAGCCAAGGATAATTTTGAATTTCTGACCCTAATGCTGCCCTCTTCCAGGTGCTGGGGAATCAAATCCAGGGCTTCATGCATGCTAGACAAGCACTTGACCACTATGTCCCTAGGCCCTCGTTTTCTTTTCTTTCTGTTCTTTTCTTCATCTTAGTTATACACAGAGAAATAACAAACCATAAACTGAGGCCTATTTCCTATTAGAACCAGGCCCTAGGGTGGGGGCAGGGGGTGGCAGCAGCCTAGCTCAATGGATGAAGGTCCAGGAGGCCACATCAAAGAGCCTCTTTCATCACAACATGAAGTTAGCATTTCCACTTCTCTTATAGTTAGAAATAGTTTCTTGTCATGACTAATAAGAGATCCAGTCTTCTGACCCTTGAAGGCTAACATGGCATCCAGGAAGGACAGACTGACTCTCCCACCCTCACCCATAGAAACCAAGACAAAACAGCAAGCCTTTTCATCAGAGAGGGCTACATACACTTCAGTTTTTCAACAACAGGATGTTTAAAGGACACCACGAAGATGCTGAGAGGGGCTGGGAGCCCACCAGATGGTTTCCACTCATGCATGGGGCTCTACTTTTCTTATTTCTTTGGGAAACAAAGAATATCTTAGTTTTCCCTTCTAAACTCTCAAGTACCCACAATGCACTACTACACAGATGACGTAAGATCTGTCGCTAGGGTGTTTCCAAAGTGGGCACCCTCAGATTATCCCCTTCCTCTAGCTCAGAGACCTAACAGTCCTTCCGAAGCAACATCCTGAGTCAGGCTCCCCCTTTACTGATGTGCAGGAAGGTGACAGCCCACGTGTGCCTGCTGCACTCAGAAGCAGGACCACAAGAGGTGGCAGCTTGGTTTCATGTATGTGCTTGTGGTTTAGGGATTTATTTATTTTTTGGTCTTTTTGAGACAGGGTCTCCCTGTAGCCCCAAGCTGGTCTGGAACTTGCTATGAAGACCAGGCTGGCCTCGAACTCACAGAGATCCACCTGTCTCTGCTCCCAAGTGCTGGGATTAAAGGCATGAATCACTACACCTGGCCATATGTGCTTGTTTTTAATTAACTGGCTGAATTAATGTGGGATGGTCAACCTTAACCTGTCTCTTTTAACTTCGTTAGGTAAAAATAACAGTATAGGCACACCACACACATCCACGGCAGTGCCTGGCACCTACCCAGCAGATTACCCAAGTCACAAGACCCTGGGGAAGACTGGACAAAGCCCAGCTGGGTATGGAGATGGGAGAAAACCTGAGCCGCTTCACTGTAGACCCAACTAAACTGAGACTGATCAATAAAATCCAAAGCCTCCCCTCTTCATACTAGAATTCTGTTTCTAAATTAATATGCAAAATACAGCAAGGCAATCTTCATGTTCCCATCCCCAGACACTCAGTTCTCAGTCCCTGCGTGGAAGCCACCTCTGTTCTGGTCTGTCTTACACAACCTAATGCAACTGCACAGCATGCTCTACTCTGTACACTGACCCAATCAATGCATTGTACTGCCTGGACTTCCCATTCACATGAGTAGAGAAAATGTCCCAGGCCTGGTGCTAACTGCTACTCAGTGTTCTACCATCCGAGGGCTTAACCAGATCACCCTAGAGGGACTGTGCCTGTAAGGTGAAGACAGAAGACAGTGCACGATGCCATGAAAACTCGATGTGTGATAGGGTTCTGTGGGTACTGCTGTGCTAGACCACAGAAGAGGACTTTGCAGATCAAACAGCTGAAGCATCTCCATTTAAACAGACTCTTTTAAGCGGCCTTCCATGAGGCTATAGCAAGTCACACCCCTGTCAACAGTCTCAGAGTTCCCACATCCCTGAACCATTACCACCACTGGGTTATCACCTTCTGAAAAGTGAAAGGGAGGGACTCTTTACCAAGATGCAGGCAGGGTTAGTAGAAAGTGAAGAGAGGACACTGTTACACCAACTGGTCTGCAGGAGTGGGAAGCTGTTTCTGGGAAGGGCTCCCAGTCAATAGGGAGAGCAGGGTCTGCAGCTTCCAAAGAATAACAAGGAGCCCAGGGGAGTGAGCCACTTGACAGCAATAGGCCCAGCCTCTCCTTCCCAGCCTGGTCTGCATCCCTTCTCACAGTTTTTCCTATCAGATCACTGGCTTTTTCCATTTTGTTGGATGTTTTCAGTATTAGGGAAATTAGCTCTTAATTAAACTGCAAGCATTTTTGTCAATGTATTGATATGTCTTAGACACTGTCCATGGTGGTTCTGCTTGTATTTCTGAACTGTGGTAGTTGAATTAACTTTTTTTCTTCCCATGGCTTCTCAGTTCTCTTCTTTTATGTATATGTATGTGTGTCCCAAATGATCAAACTGCACACTTCAGTTTTCTGAGACAAGGTTTTGCTATGTAGACCAGGCTGGCCTTGGGTTTCCAGTGTAGTCCTAGCTGTCTTTAAACTCCTGCCTCCCAAGCACTAGGATTATAAGTGTGAGCCATCACACCCAGAGAGATTGTATACTTTAAATAATTGCATGTTATTGTACTTCAATAGTTAATGGAGTTGAAAATTTAATAACTTAAGCGGTAACTAAAATTCAAGTCACTTCAAACTCATG